TTGAGTAGCAAAAAACTTGTTGCATAGTGTAATCTACCGCACCACAATACGTTACTAAACTCATTGTTTTATTTCAAAGCTTGATCCTGTACAAAGAACTAATTTTTTCTCTAGCATTATTGCTTCACAAATATTACAAATAAAATTTTGCTATTATTAATGTTATGTTTGCATGATTGCCTTTTTTCATTTTAACCTCTATGTGTGTCCTCTTATCTTCATTCTGGTTTATTGAATTTTTTTATTTCGTGTCGAATTTGACAAATGAAAATTTAACATACGATGCTGATTGATTGGTAAGCTGTAATGGATGGGTGGATGTGCGGGCGGATGTGTGGATGCATGGAGAGACGGATGAATGAGTTAGTAACTAATTGAACGAATGAAAAAAAGCAGCTTCAGCTATATATAACATGTAACATGCACCTTTTAAAAAATGATTATATGAACAATCAAATGAACTAAACTAAGTATAGAACCCAAATTGAAAGAACAGCAAACGAATACTCACAAATGGTCTCAAAGTAGATCGAACAAGTATATGAAAAAAATTGAGAATGAATGAACGATTGAGAATGAATGAGTGACTGCGAACGAGTGAGCGCTTTCAGACTCTAGACAAGCAACGTCTAACCACACTTATAAAGCGAAGAAATCTACATGTGCCTCTACAAGTGCATTCTTGCATGTTAAAACTTCACAATAAATATATTTCATAAACAAATTTCTAAAAATATCACATAAATACATTTCTCCATGAACAACATGGACACAGCACATATTAATACATACGTACAATCACATATAACCAAAAATCAACGTAAAATTATTTATATATGAGTAAACCCAAATATATACATACTAACCATTCAGTCACTAAGTGTGTACACATAAAATAATTCTCACGCTAACTTTTCATACATGCAATCGTGCCAACGTACATACTAAAATACAATAGAAGCAAGTGAAAAAACAAAAAGTAAAAAAGATAAACTTGGAAAACAAACAGACCAACAATAATAATAAAATTATTTTCTACAGCAT